GCATATTTCCTTGGATTATGGTAAATTTTCAATAAATATTTTGAATTAATATTATAATCTATAATAATTATACTATGTAAATGCAAAGTGAAAAATTAAGTACACATTTTAGTTTAGGCTTAATTTTATTTAGAAACTCTTGCTTGTACATTTAATGACTTGGATTAGCTATTATGATGTTATTAAAGTTTTCAAATTTTATTTTAATTAAGGTGAGATATTTTTATGGACTCAAATTCTTAGAACTTTTTACTTCCCATTTGACTGATACTCAGATGATATCTATATGATTCCAAAACAGTTAACGGGTGCATTCAAGTTCATTGGTTAGTGCTATGTAGACAAAAACCAGTTGACTGAGTATATTTTTGATGTTCAACATTTTTTGTAAGGACACAGAGGCATGGCCCTAGGTAAAATTATTAAGTGAGTCAGCTCATATACTGTCACCTATTAAAATTCTTCTAAGAAATAACTTCAGAAAGCATAGATCAAATATGTTATATCCACTGGTCAACCTCTTTTTGGTGTTTAATGTGCCTGGCCCTTGTGGCATTTTTGTAGGTCTAGTCACAGAAGCATGAGAGAAACCAAGGGTTACAGTTGAGATGCGTCCCCCTGGTTTTTCTTCCTGGAAGAAAGAAGTCCAAGAAGAGCATAAGAAGAGCATACAGTTACTAGTGATCCCTTAATTGTCGAGTCTAATGGCCTTTTCTCAATCCTGACCCTTTCTTGATCTCTTTACAGCTTTTTGACATGGTTGGTCACCTCAGTCTCCTTTGTTAATTCTTTATCCATGTCATGCTCATTTATAGTGATTGTTCCCTGAAAGGCTCTCTATGGGGCCTGCATTCCCTTTAGTTTTATGCTATCTCATTTGGTGATCTCATCAGCTCCTGTGGGTTAAATTATCATCACTAATCAGATGATTCCTAAATCTATACATCCATTTCTGGGCTCTCTTCTGAGCGATAGTCATGTACCACCAACTGCTTCCTGCTTAACTCATCTCAAAATGGATGTTCCATAGACTTCTCCAGTTTAACATGTACCAACAAGAACTCATGATCTTTCTCCAAGAAACTCTCCCCTCTTCTGAACTTCCTTATTACTGTTGAGGGCACTTGCATTCTCCCAATCATTCAGACTCACAACCTCTATGTCAACTTCTATTCTTCACTCTTGCTCACTCTTCATATCCGTATGATTGCCAAATCTTTGTCATTTTTACCCTCACATCTCTCCATTCACACAGTTACAATGCTAATTCAGGCCCTCATTCCTTCTCACCTGGACTATTTCCAATTACATTCTAACTGGTCCTTCTCCCTGGCTTTCTTTTACGCCTGGAATACTATGCCCCCTGACCTTTACCTCTTAGCTTCCCTGACTTCCATTAAGACTCAGCTCAAAGTCCATCTTCTTCAGGGGGGTTGCCCCTGTTTACCTCCTACCCACCATCCACCCCCAATGGCTGCTAATGTTTTTCCCTGTCTGATTATCTTCCATCTACTCCATAGATATCTTATGTATATCTAATGTATACATTGCCTCTTCCACTAAAAAATAAGCTTGGAAGCAGGGTCTATTTTTCACCTTCTTTGTATCCACAATGATTAATAGAGTGGCTGGCTCATGATATGTGTTTAATAAATGCTTGTCAACTGACTGATTGACTTCCAGGGAACTGTTATGAGTCTGACCTGCCTTTCTATTTTTCTGCTTATTATAATGTTGAGCTGAGTTCCCTTCATTGTAAAAGTCCTGGTCACAAGCATTATTTAGTAACAGTGGTTATCTTACCTCCTTTTGTTAAGTATCTTTTTGACTATATTACTCCCTTCTGTACCTTCTATGATCTAGTTATACTGCCCACTCACTGTTCCTCACACATGATTCTCCATCTTTCTACTCTGTATTTGTACTGGCTGCCCCTCATGACTGGAATGTTCTACTTCCTTACCTCCAACTCCTAATTACCTTAGCTTCCATCAAGGCTTAGCTTAATTCCTACCTTTTGCAAGAGGCCTCTCCTAGTCCTCCATCCTACCACCCACCCACCATTTCTGTACCACTTTACCTTCTAATTGCACCTTATGTATCTTGTATGTACAGACTTATTTACTTACTGTAGCCCCCATTAGAATTTGAGCTCATTGGGAGCAGAAACTCTGGTTTTTGCCTTTCTTCATAATACCAGTGCTTAGCACAGTGCCTGACACACAGTAAGCACTTAATAAATGTTATTAACAGAATAACTAACTAAATATATTAGGTGCATATTAGCTTTGGGCTATATAGAAATATCAATGATTTTTGCAGGTACAATTAGCCACACCTTTCTTGGCTTCCTGCCTCTGTGATTCTTCTGTTTTCCCTATCAGGAGGTTTATATTTGGCTCCTTCCCCCTTCATTTTACACTTTACCTTTTTCATTAATGTCCCCAAGATACCCAATACCCATGCACTTTCCCCAACTCCTCAGGAGTGCCCATTCTCTTCTCCCATTCAATTTCATTCTCCCTGAATACCACTTTATTCTTTATACTTTCCCTTTCCCTTCCTTCTCCCCTCTCCCATTAAAATTCCCCTGTCCTTTGTCTCATTCTATTATGGTCTTACAAAATGACTGGCTGGATAATCAATGAGATGACTCATCTAATTATTTAGCAAGGTCATGACCAAATCAGACTAAAGACATTATTGAGTGCTTACTGGGTGCTTACAGAGCATTGTGCTGGTGCTGGGAGAGATACAAAGATTAGGTAACTAAGTCTCTGCTAGCATGAAGTTTACATTCTAGTAATATTTATTGTACACTAATTCCTGTTATTATGTAACTTGTAAGTCCCTCAAGGCCAGACACTGTTTGCTTTTTGTTTTGGTATAACTTGTTGCTAGCAGAGTTCCCTGTACATGATAAATGCTTAATCAATGTGTGTTGGATTAAATGAGGTGTTCTGAATAAATGAATTTCGCAGATACCTAACATTGAACCTTTTTTTGAGGGAAACGTTTATAGAATAATTACACAAAAATTTGCCTTTTTTAAAACAGAACACACTGAATAATTTATCTTTTTTGGCTCTTACTCTCTGCCTTGGCTACTATGATTTAGGACCAATAAATAAGAGGCCAAAGACTTGTAGATTACTCATGCCTTGTAGAGGCCGCATGTATCTACAGCAGTAATACCTTTATTCAAGAAGAGAAGCAGAAGGCGTTGGTCATGGTCTTCTCTGGCAACATTTGAAGAAATGAAATTAACAGTATCTTAACAGAAAAGAAATAAATGGTTATAGATACAGCAATCATTTCAGTTAGTTATGAGGAGTCATATCATCAATTGGGGAGAGTAAAGGTCAAAGAAAATGCCAAATTAGGGGAATCGGGGAAAGATAGAGATGAAAATATACTGTGTTATTTTAGCAACTCTGGCCTGGCCTGTTAAGCAAGCTGTCAACCCAGAAAAATTTTGAGCTGAAAAAAAAAAGGGGGACAAGATTAAGACAGAGTTCACGCTTGTGATCCTGGGCAAATCCCTTTCCCTTTGTATATCTCAGGTAGCTCCCTGGGATTGATGTACTAGATCACAGATGATTGTGATCTTCCCTTTTTGGGAAGAGTATTCTAATACAAGGAGATCCCTGTACTGACAAAGATATCTTCATGCATTCATGGGTGGGTATATGTGAGTGTGGAGAGGATCTATGACCCTCTATGGCTCTGTGTTATTGTTACAGCCTCTTAAGTGGTCTCTCTTCCTTAAATCTCTCCCCATTCCAATCTATACTACATACCACTGCCAAAGTAATTGTCGTTAAGCACAGATCTGACCATCTGACTATTCCACCCAGTCAACTTCAATGGCCTCCTGTTGCCTCTAGAATCAAAATTTCCTCTGTTCATCTATCAAAAGTCCACATGACATAGCCCCAACCTAGCACTCCAGTCCCACTGGACAGTGCTATTCTTCCCACACATTGTGATCTAGCCAGACTGGCCTTCATACTCTTTTCCTTAATCATAACACTCATTCACCATCTCCCTACTGTCCCCTTTGCCTGGAATGCACAGTCTTTTTAACTTTGCCTCATTATTAGTCTGGAATCCTTTAAGATGCATGCATCTCAGAGACTATCTTCTATATAAAGCCTTTCCTTATCCCTCCAACTGCTAGTGCTTTCCTTTCCAAGTTAATCCAAGTTAACCTTGGATTAACTACTTTGTATATATTTGTATTTATCCTGGAGGACTCAACCAATAAACTGTACTGCAACCAGACCATCCTTACAGACTAAACCACTGCACACAATTGCGTGGATCTAACAAGGATCTATGAAAATTTAAGGTAACATTTCATTTAGATGTCACCATAGCAAGTACCCATAATCCCCAAGCTGTACGGAACAAAAATCCTTTAAAATAGCAAGAGAAATCAAAAGAATGTGGGAACAGAATGAGGTACATATCATTCCTCTTATTATCTCTGCCACTAGAGTTGTTCTGAGGATACTTTTAGTGAGACTACAGGGATCTGTGTGATAATCCATAGAACATTAAATATTTTTTAAAAGCAAGATAACAACTTGTCCCAGGACTATATCTTTCTGAACTTCATTAAACAAGATGAAAATGAGATAACAACGAAAATGATGATGATGACTATAATAACTATCCTCTTTCCCTGTCATCACACACACACACACACACACACACACACACACACACCACTGGAGGTAGCCTGAGGATGACCTACTTTTAGTATATGATGATGTGTTTAGTGGATACTGATACCTAAGTGAGTTCTTGCTATTTGGGACTATAGCATTATTCTTTTGACTCTTCATCATTGTTTCTCTCCTTTACTCTCAGTGCCTGCTATTTGATACTTCTATCACCAATTCTAATCTCTGTTTATGGTGCTAATGTATCGCTCTTTTTTATCTCTTCTTCTCTGTATCCTTTGCCTATTGTGTCTTTCCTGGTTCTCTATTTAAGAACAGAGAATGGCTTTTAGTCATTGCCAGTTAATAAGAGCATTCATTTTTTCTGGTCATCAGATTGACCAAGCATAGCGTAACCTATTTTTTATTTACATTTTTACTTATAGTATAAGGATTATGATTAAATATCTTCAAATTTTTTTTAATTTCATCGGAGTTTTAGGTCCTGATAGAAAGTTGTACTTTGATATAGGATTGTCAAGAGACCTTGGGATTTAGTTCCAACTGTGCTAATAAATATGTAGCTTAGGACATATCCTCCATAGTCCTCAGTTTCCAAATCTGTGCAAAGGAAAGTCTTTGACTAGACATGATCTCTAAAGGCCATTAGAGTTTTAACCACTAGGAATTAATGATTTTATTTTCGGCATTTGTGAACATATACTCACAAATTTTATATTTTGAGATAATTGGTAAATGCTTATGTTTATTTGTGTATACTTTAAATTAAATATTAAGTTAGCACTTTGGAGGTCTGCGATTTCATCAATATGTTCCATTTATTCAACAAAGATTTCATGAATTGAAAAATCCCTCACCTAGTGGTCAATCTTCTGGTTATGAGCCAGCCTTCGCATACTTATTAATCTGGCTGTTGAATGACTGACACCGGTTTGTCACTAGGCCTATACTAGCCTTTCTATAACTTGATAAGACCTACTAGATATTTCACTTAGCTGAAGTAATCTTAGGAAACCCAAGGTCACTCCCAAACCACAGTGAGGTATTTGAAAAGAAATTTAGTGGGGAAAATGTTCCTTTAAACCTATGGGAATTTTGTTGAATTTTTCCATGATCTTTTCTTTAGATTAACCTTATTAAAGTACCAATAAAACAAAATAATAATATGTGATACTAATATTTTCTTTTTTATTATTTAGGTACTTCGAGTATATTATGATCGTCTACTAGATCACACAGATAGAGCTTGGCTTGTGGGTCATATCAAGAAAATGATGGAAACTAAAATGGGAGAAAATTTTCATGAGCTTTTTAAAGCTTTGGACTTTAATGGTGATGGAGTGGTGGAAGAAGATGACTTACGCAGTTTAATGTTTTGTGATTTCCATGATCCCAAAAGAGAAGACACTACCTATAGGGAAATCAGTGATGTGGACAGTCTACGAGTTGTGGTTGAAGGTCATCTTGATGAATATAATAATATGACTAAAAAAACCATGCAGCTTGTATTATTCAGGTTTGCCATAGAACACATAAGCAGAATTTCCAGGATTCTTAAGCAACCTCGAAGTCATGCTCTTCTGGTTGGTGTTGGAGGCAGTGGTAGGCAGTCAGTTACCCGGTTAGCTGCCCATATGTCTGATTATACAGTTTTCCAGGTTGAAATATCCAAAAGCTATGGTACTTATGAGTGGCATGAAGATTTAAAACTCATCTTAAGGAAATCATCTGAAGGAGAGATGCAAGGTGTTTTCTTGTTTACAGATACACAGATTAAAAGAGAATCATTTCTAGAAGATATTAACAATTTGCTAAATGCAGGGGAAGTTCCAAATCTTTTTGCAGTAGATGAAAAACAAGAAATATGTGAAAAAATGCGTCAGATAGATCGCCAGCGGGATAGAACAAAACAAACAGATGGTAGTCCCATAGCTCTTTTTAACATGTTCATTGATCGCTGTCGAGATCAACTCCATGTGGTCCTGGCCATGAGTCCAATTGGAGATGCATTCCGTAATCGTCTTCGAAAATTTCCAGCTCTTGTTAATTGTTGCACCATTGATTGGTTTCAGGTATTATTTTATAAATTTTAAATTTGCATGTTCATCTGCAGAAACTCAAGTCTTCCTTGTGTTATATTTTCCTATCACATAAAAGTCATTTTAGCAAAATGTCCCAGTTAGCTAAAGCCAAAAGTAAAAAATATTTTCTCAGATTCTCATCTGAGAAATCAAGTTGATAAGGAAATTATCCACAAATCCCTTTTTATCATAAAAGTTACTATATTAATGAAAATTTCAGTAAGTATAAATATGAAAAAAATGATTACCCTAATTCTCCCTTTTGTCCCAGCTGTGTAATTTTCCAGGGATGCAAAATAAAGAAAATTTTCTCTTGGGTGTTTATTTGTAAAGATGGGGAATATCACTCCCAATTCCTAAATAATCTTATGAAGCCTGTTTACAGCTATCCCCTGGGTTTCATGACCTTATCACCACTTAAAAACTTGGTACTGTTTCTTGTACATATGTCCTCAGGAACATAATTGTTTAACACTTCCCCAATCTCTAATTTCATATATCCCTTGTGGTATTGTTATAACAATAACAGTACATTCATGTGGTCTTTGTAAGTGTAAAACAAGCTGCTCTAAGCTGATTAACATTCCAACTGTGGACCAACTATATACAGTAAATAATTATAGGCATTTAAAGTAGCTACAGAATTCAGCTTGCTTTTACTGTAATTCCTTAATTTGAAAACTCTATCAATATATGCCTTCTAAAACATCAATTGTCATGATCCACAACCTTCCTGTACAGACTTAAGGACAGGTGCCCTTACCTCTACTGGTTGCTAATCCTACCCAAGTTAGCCCTCATGACCCACTGAACAGTCTTCCTGACCCCATCTATTCT